AATGCCCACAGTTGACATAGAGCAGACACAGCTGCAGGAGATCTCCAGGCAGGGGGTTCTGAGTCCCCACATGCTCCAGAGGAGGGCTAAACATCATCCCATGTGGTCAAGATCAGCAGGAGGCAGATATTGCCAGTTCCTTACCCAAAGTCCAGGACTCAGACAGACACACTCACTGGCCCAGACTCCTTTGCAGCCAGGGAGCTCAGATGAGTTCTGGCAAATGGGCTAAAAATGGTATCACATGATGCATCTTCTGGAAAACTGGTATTTCCCCATAAAAAGGGACTAATACAGTTGGCACATTTGCCCTTTGCCCTACCCTCATCTTCCTGCCTCAAACAAGAATATTAAAATGCGCCCTGCAGGGAGGAGCCTGCAATGTAAGATATGAAACCTCCTGCAAACAGGAGGACAATGGCCACAAGCTAAGGATGGCTGAGCAGCAAATCAGGAGCCTGGCTCCCTTCTGGCATCAAGTGGAGGCCGCAGCAGCCCCATCTGCTTCTCTCGAGAATTCTCAATAGGACAGAAAGAGAAACTCCTATTTGGTTGAGCCACTGTAGTCAAATATCAGTCTACACGCAGCCAAAAGCCATCATCACTGACCCAGGACGTGATGGTGACGGGAGGCTGCGAGACCAAGGAAGTGTCAAGAATGTTCACATTCGGGCATTTACTCATTTATTCAGCAAATACTTCTTGAGTGCCTACTATGTGCCACACGCTGTGCTGGGCTGGGAAGGCATTCAAGACACGGGCCTAGCCAGCAGGCAGACAGCACAGCTGCACTCATCAAGGACCAGCACAGACCCACCGGCCTCACAGCCCAGTATCGGTCTTGAACACATTGGTGACAAAGCAGACAAAAATCCCTGCCCTCATGGCACCTATGTTCTAGCGTGGGGAGCAGAGCAGTAAATAAATAAATATGCAAATTACAGAGGATGTTAGCAGATGTTAAGGGCTTCAGGGAAAAACAAAGCAGTTATTCTAAGTGTGCCCTGTAAAGACCAGCACACACAGACAGGCACACGCACGCTTGTAAAGTCTCGATGAAACGCTTGTAATTTTGATGTAACCCCAGGGAGAAAAAGAAATTCCATGAACTGATCATCCTGAGCTGACTAAGATTATATTTTTTACCTTAAAAACTGATTATAGAGGATGATGCAGCTCAGGCCAACCTGCAAAGTGCCTGTCACCATGATCTCCTCTGAAGGGAAGTGTGCAGGGCTGCAGCACAGCGGCCACCACGCCCGTGTCCCCACCCCACACTCACCTGCAACGGACAGTTCGCCTCCTCGGCCGCACACTCCAGCCGCTTCTTCACCATGTCCATGCTACAGTTCTCATTCAGAAGCCTCTCCAGCTCGTAGCTGAGCTCAGACTTCCAGAAACCGATGTCCGACAGCCTCTGGCCCAGGTTCCGACAGGTCCCCTGCTGCATCTGCTGTGTCAGCTGGTCCTTGTCCTGCATGAGCCGCATAGAGTCACCCATCAGCCGGCCGGCCCACAGCCGTGAGGCCTCGGCCCCGCGTATCTGCAGCTGGTTGGACTGGTCCCAGTCGCGGGGGCTATAGCGACAGAAGAGCGCTGAGCGGAGCGAAGGCAGGATGGTGGGCGGCCTCAGGGCGCTGTGGCACGTGGCTCGGTCGTCCTGGCAGGTCTGTGTGTTGGAGACCCTGTAGAAGAGGCTGGGTCTCCATGAGTGGAGGTAGCGGTACCCAGGCAAGTAATAGGGCTGGTAACATTCCTGGATTTCTGGGGCCGGCACGGCCGGCGGCAGCGCAGTGAAGTCACAGGTTTTCCTGGGACCACAGTAATCAGCAGTCTGAGTGGTTCCAAGAAACTCCATCTTCTCCCATCAGCCCCGCACAGGCAAAACTCTGCCCCCGGGGGCCCAGGCAAGGGAAGGGGCTTCTCTGAGGGACTGGCAGGACCTCTATGACTTGGCACTGTTGTCATAAAGCCTGGGGGACGGAGCTTTCCTAGGGCCCTTGCTCACTTTAAGGCAGCTGGGGCCACATCATCCCAATCGAAACACACAAAAAATCAACAAAGTGAATATGAGTTTCTCAGTCCACAGAGCTGGAGACATCAAAAGAATGGCATTTGTCTACTTTTCTATAACTATCAAATCTCCCTTTCCAGACCTAACACTGCCGATGGAAGAAAATTTAACATAGTCTGCTCAGTAAACGCAATGAGTTCAGGGCCAGTTTGATCAAGATTAGTCGTTTTCCTTCTATCTTGGTCCCCAAGATGGCTCCGAAGTGGTACATCCACAGCATGGAATACTACTCAGCAGTCAAAAGGAGATTCAGCCGTGGGCGAATCTCAAATGTGTTCAGCTAGGTGGAAGCAGCTAGACTCAAAAGGTCACATCCTGTGTGATTCCATCTAGATGACATTCTGGAAAAGGCAGATCCATGTGGACAGAAGACAGATCAGTGGTTGCCGGGGGTGGGGGTCGGGGGCAGGCTGACTACAAGGGAGCATAAGAAGGTTTGGAGATGATGATAATACCATTCTTTATCTGAATGTGGTGGGGGTTACACAACTATCTGTATTTGTCAAAACCCACAGTACTCTCCATTAGAAAAGGTGGCTTCTACTGTATGTAAATTATACTTTGATAAGCCTGGCATTAATAAAGGAGGGAACTGTGAGTTACGAGACAGAGACCATGTCTATCTAGCTCACCATGAAGTCCCAATACACCACTGAAGGAATGAACGGGCATCTAAAATGAAAGTTTTATTATTCCAGAAAAAGCATTCACCCCTCTGTTCTATACCGGTATATTTATTCCATCAAGAAACTTCCCTCTCTCTTTGTCTCGTGGGAGTAGCAACGAAATCTCAAGGTAAAAAACAAGAAGGGTGCTTGATTTGTGGGGCCTTTCCCCTCTTTTGACATGGGAAAGAGAAGACTCCGACCCTCGAATGGTCCTTGTGAGCAGAGTGTGATGGTCAATGGGAATTTTCTCCCCAATGGGCTAAAACCAGAACTGAAAAATGGAGTGGGTACGAGAGGACCAAGGCAGAGAGAAATAATACTTTTAAGCACTTTCCTTAGACCTTACGCTTTACATATACTCCTTTATTTAATTTCCACAGTGAGCCTATAAAGAAACCTTGACACACTCATCTCAGGGTGAGGAGAGAAATCAGGGTGGGATCTGGACCCCCCTCTGCGCCTGCAACTTCACCTCGCAGGACCCTTTGAGATGAGACATCCCACATGGGGAGGGGAATGACTGCACACTGAGAGCAGCTGAGAAATGGACCAAAAAAGATTCAAGGTTATTTTTTAAGCACTGAATGTTCACAGTAAAAATAATGCGAGCAATATCTAAGGGCATACAGTAAAACTTAGACTTTCTCAACACCGCTAGCTACTTTCAGTCTCCTCAGCTATAACTAATATTGTCAGATTTGGGTATTTTTCAGACATTCCATGCATACACAAACATACATAAATCTAAATCTTTTTTTTTTAACATAAATGATAAATGCCATATACGCCATTTCCCACATAACCGTAACTCTTGGGCAGCATTTCATTTTGGTACATAAATCTCTTTCTTTTAGTAGCTGTGTGGTCCTCCATTACATGGAGGTACCATTATTTATTTGACCTTTCTCTCTGACTGGGCATCTGAGCTGTAGTCCGTCTTTTGCTGTTACAAATACCGTTTCAATAACTGTCCTCCCACGTGCATTTCCTCACTTAAAGTCAAGTTAATGGAGGTAGTTTTCGCACGGTGCAATTTACCCTCTCGGCACACGGTCTCACAAGTTCTGACACACACACACACAGACGCCGCCACCATCACCGAGATGAGGACATCGCGATCGGCTGGGAGGTTCCTCTGTGCTCCTCCCTCTGCCCCCAGCCCAGGCCACTGCCAATGGGCACTCTGTCCCCACAGAATGCCGTATAAACAGGATAATGTAGCATGCAGTCTCATGAGCCCAGCCTCTCCCTTAGCATAATGCTAGATGCAAACAGTACCCTTCCGCATACATTTCTGGGCATGTCTGAGCGTAACTTATAGAAGTTACGAGATGGAAGTACATGTATGTTTTGCCTTGAAAGCTCTCCCCCTCCTGGGGGCCTCCAGGTACATACTTTATTATTAGATGCATTTTTATGTGCATGTATATTGTCCTGAAGTTTTTCCCATCCTGTGGGTCTTTGGCAGGAGAGGCCAGGGCTGTCCTTAGACCCTGGTGATGGCCTCCGATTCAGATACTGAGGGACAGTAGTCAGGGGCGGCAATGCCTGCCTGTTTGCCTTGGCCAAGAGCCTGCTGCTATAGGTGTGGGGGGCTCAGACATGAACATCAAGACCCCCTTCCCAGTGTCGGCTGTGGAAGGGGGCAGAACCTGAGAAAAACCCAGAGGCTGGTAAAATAAGTCCCTTGGTGACTTCCAGCATGGACAGCTTGAAGCCGGCTGGAAACCCCTGTGGCCTCGCTCACCTGTGCTCAGGTCGCTTGCCTAAATGATCTGGGGAAATGAGCGAGGACCAACCCCACTGAAAGTCAGTCCGCCACAAAGTGAAACTGTCACCAGAGAAACTAATCCGTCTGCCCTCCAGCCCTTTGGGGCTCTGGCCTGATTTTCCTAAGTAAGGTAGGGCTTCCTGAAGAAAAGGACGGATCTCAAAGTCCGGATGTTTGACTATGGCCGACATAAAGAGCATCCAAACCTGTAGAGAATTTTTATAAGAATTTATTTGCGCCAAACTGACGACATTGCTGGGAAGCAAGGCATCAAATGCTCTGGAGAATGACAATTTTGCAGTTTCTTTTACATATTTGGAATTAGGGAGGGAACAGAAGGAAGAGGACAAGAAGGTGGGAGAAAGCAAGGCGGAGACTAGATGACAGGACAGTTAACAAGAGTATGTGCTCTCTTGAGGGTGGTTATGCTTCAGAGGGGTAGCATGTTAACCTAGATGCAGAGAAACAATGTGCAGGACTTGCTTAAGGCAAAAATAAGCCTTTTAGTAAAGAAGTTATATGCCTAGGTGTCACTACCCACCGTGACCTGCCCAGTTAGGAATTCGTGATTAGATTACCCTGTGAGGTCGCTTTCCCTAGAACACTTTTTTCATTCATTCAAGTTTATTTGGCCTGCAATTTTTATCTTGAATTAATTATATGTTATTATCAAGAATATATTAAATGTATAAAATAAATTTATTTCCCTCTTTTGTACCGTCACACACGAATATACATATGCACATATATATGAATATATGATATATATATAATACATATATATATAATACATATATACATGTATGACTCATGCATTTTTTCCTGCTGTAAAGAAAGAGAAGACGACTCTACATCAGGGGTGGAAAGCTGGGGAGAGGGCTGATACAAACGAATCTGTTTTCTCAGACTTGTTAAGTACTTGTCCTTCCACTTCAGCCTGTTTACAAAAATGTCAGTTGCTGAGTGGGTGACCATTGGTTGTGGGGCTCCTGTGGCCAGGAAGGCTGCACATAGGAATCTGGTTAATGCTGTCCAAGCAGAGGGGGCCTTTCCCTCAAGTGGAGTCCTAGCTTCGCCCCCTCTCCCAGTCTGGAAAATGGGGGTCACCGTGTCACCCTCAGGGGAAGCTGTGAGAATCAAATAAGGGCACAGCAAGGTACTTAGGACACAGCAGGTGTTCACGATTGTGACTGGTACCGTTGTTGTTATTATACTAGACTTTGCCACATTCTTTCATTTTTATCCTTGGATCACACTTGGAGGTAGGTGGGCATTGCTCGCTCCCTCATTTTACAGGGGAGGCTCAGAGGGGTGGCTTTGTTTGCCCAAGGGCACACAGCCACTCTCCGGAAGTGGCTTGGGAAACACCCTGTTTCCAGTGGGGTAAAGGAGAGCCAGGTAAAAATCCCGAATGTACTTCCAATGGGGCTGGCAGGGAGCTCTGAGAACAGCTCAGTGAGGTTGAGTTTCTATTTTTCCCCAACATTATAAACAATTTTTAAAATGCAGTGGTTTTCAAACACATTCTCTGATGTAGAAGGTTGTCTTCAAATAAACTCTCCTCTAGAAGCAAGGTGCGTGACACAAGGAGCCCCAAGGTGCCCTGGCTGGAGGGAGCAGAGGTGGGGGGCACTTCCCCATGAGTTCCTAGGGCTCCGTGGAGCTCAGTGGGAGCCCCTGATTTAGTCTACCCTCTCCCCATTTCAAAAGTGAAGGTACCTAGCCAGGAACTGGAAATCTAGACTCCACGTCCAGGTTTTCTGAGGTCAGACTAACCGTTAGAGGTATGGTTTAACAGTTATAATAATCGAAAGGCATTCATTTAAATTCAGAATCATGTGCTGTGGGCGAGTGTGGGTGTATTAGCTTCCTATGGCTGCTGTCACAAAGCACCACAAGTTAGTGACTTAAAACGACAAAGACTTATTCTCAAAAGAGACACAGGGGGCTCAAATCAAGGTGCAGGCAGGGCTGGTTCCTTCTGGAGGCTCCAGCGGGAGAATCCGTTTCCTCGCCTTTCCAGTTCCAGGCCGCTGGCCAATCTTGGCTCAAAGGCCCTGCCTCCATCTGCAAACCCAACAGCGCAGCACCTTCTCCTCTGATCCTCCTGCGTCCTCCTTATAAGACCCTTCGGAGCACATGAGACACACCCAGATAATCCAGGATAATACCGTGTCTGGAGATCCTTAACTTAATCACACTCGCAAAGCCCCCTTTACCATGCGAGGTGACCTACCCACAGGTTCCGGGCATTAGAACATGGACATCTCTTGGGGACAGTTATTCAGTTCATCACAGTGAGCAATATGAAAGGATGCCTGGCGGTAAGAAAGTCAGGCATGAGTACTATGCTGTGGATTGTCCCAAATCGGAAGACACTCAGTGGTTGGAGGGGGCAGACTGGAGCATCTCCTGAATCACTGCTTTCCCCAAGGTTTCTTTAATTTATAATGCATTTATTTTAAGTCTTCAAAAGCAATACTCTGTCTCACCCAGACTTATGTTCACATCTAGTCCTCCTGATCTGTGCCTCTCATGTGTTAATGTGCTCTCAACTGACCTGGGGAGCATGCGAAAATACAGACTCTGACTGAGAAGGGCTGGGAGTGGCCGGAGATAGTGCATGTCTTACAAGCTCCCAGGTGAGGCTGGTCATGCCCTACCTGGAGTAGCAAGGCCCTGAGGTAAGTTCTACGAGGGAAAGGACCATGTTTGATTTTCCTCATCATTGTATCCACAGTACTTAGAAGAGAACCTGGAACATAGTAGGTGCACAATTTGGGTTTGCTGAATGAATGAAAAAATTGATGGATGGTTGGGTGGGTGCGGTGGATGGATGGAAGGATGGACAGATAGATGGATGAATGGGTAGATTAGTGGGTGGGTGGATGGATGGATGGAT